CAGACCCCTAGCCGTTTTGGCTCAGAGGATAGAGCATCAACCTGCAGATTGAAGGGTCTTGATTCCGGTCAAGGGCATGTATCTCTTTTGCAGGCTCAACAACCGGCCCCCAGTTGGGGTGCTTGTGGGAGGCAAGCAATTGATGTATCTCTCTCACATCGATGTTTCTCTCTCCCTGTCTCTCCCCCTCCCTCTACTTTCTCTAAAAATCAATAGAAAACTATCCTCGGAGGAGGATTAACAAAAAAAAAATTTACCTGCAGATACAAAATTTTTCTGGAAACCATTTCAAAGTATGTGTATAAAAATATTTGTAGCTACAGGTGTTAATTTTCACAATAAATGAAATAGGTTTTCTTTGCTCAGTTTTGCAGATGTCAAGACAGAAACCCAGAAAAGTTAAATTAAGTTGTCTAAAGACACACTCCTGAAAGTGATGAAGCTAAAATTTAATCCCTTGTCTACTTGAGACCCAACTACTACACTGCTCTAAATGATGCAAAAAAATAAAATAAAATAATAGCTACAGCCAGTTTTACAAAAGATACAGAACATATTTCAACCAGAGCTTCCACTGAGGAAAAGGGAATAATAATAATATTGTTACTCTGTGAAAAAGGAGGGCAGATGAAGGGACATAGGAAACTGAGGAAATTTAATGAATTTGATTTTCCATTTTGCTTTCCAATGGCAAAACTCAATGTAGAGATGGGATCTGAATAATCAAATAATGCTGACATCAACCCCCAAAATAACACTATTGCTAACCCCAGAAATGCTGTCTCAATATCTCCAGTTGTTGATATAACCAAATAGGCACCAGATCTCATTCTATTCCCCGCGCCCCCCCCCTTTTTTTTTGCATAAGTTAGCATCACAGGATTTACCTCTTTTTCTTCCTGGTAGCCCTGGCCCAGAGTCCTCAGCAGCTCTCCCTGCAAAGAATCTCTCTTAAACCCCCACATGCCTTTGATGTTTTTTGGAGGCTCCAGACCCTCCTGAAGGCTGACTTTAAACTGGCACAAGGAACCCACAGGGATGGTTCCAAGCCTGGCCTGACTATAGTCCTAAACTTCCCCAGATATGAGGGTCTTTAAGCCATGTGGGAATCATGGTAAAGAAGGCAGCTCCAATTATGATAAGCAAAATAAGCCATCAGAGAAAGATAAATATTACATGATCTCACTCATTTGTGAAATATAATGAACAACATAAACTGATGAACAAAAACAGATCCAGAGACAGAGAAGCATTGATCAGACCGTCAAACCTCAGAGGGAAGGTAAGAGAGGATGGGGGTAAGGGGGAGAGATCAACCAAAGGACTTGTATGCATGCACATAAGCCTAACCAATGGACACAGACACCAGGGGGGTGAGGGCATGAGTGGGGGGGTAGAGCGGCAATGGGGGGATAAGGACACATATGTAATACCTTAATCAATAAAGAAAAAAGAAGAGCCCTGACCGGTTTGGCTCAGTGGATAGAGCGTCGGCCTGCGGACTCAAGGGTCCCAGGTTCGATTCCGGTCAAGGGCATGTACCTTGGTTGCGGACACATACCCAGTAGGGGGTGTGCAGGAGGCAGCTGATCGATGTTTCTCTCTCATCGATGTTTCTAACTCTCTATCCCTCTCCCTTCCTCTCTGTAAAAAAATCAATAAAATATATATTTTTTTAAAAAAAAAGAAGAAGAAGAAGAAGGCAACTCCATCCTGAAGCCCATCCCATGAAAGAAGTTGCTATCTCAAGCCACCTAGGCACCCAAGTACTGACTGTGATAGTCATTCACATTCCAGCCTAGAACTCTGGGCCTTTATGAATGCAGTCAAACAATTGGTTTAGATTGACTGAGTCCTCACTGGACGGAACCATTACATATACAGAGGGGTCCTTTTAAAAATTCAATGTTATTCTTTGTTTCTTCTGAATTTAAAATAAAAATACATGCTCGATTATTTAAAACCCTCACAATCCAGGCATCTATATCGCAAAAGTGAAAGATTCCAGCTACCCCAAGATGTAAACTCCATCAAAAGTTTTTATATCTCCTTCCAGACCTTTCTTTATGCATCTATAGACATATATCCTCCCTCCCAGGTGGGATTACAACTATTCTCCAACTCCTTTTTTTTTTCCATTTAGGCATTGTTTCATGTCTAATCATAGAAATCTACCTCATTTAAACAAAAAATCTCCTGCAAAATATTTCATATTAAGCATGAACTATCATTTATTTACATGATCTCTTATTAATGGACAAGTAGGTTGTTTCTAGTTTTTGCTGCTATAGACAATGCTTGATTAAATATCTTTTCCCAATTATGCAGAAGGCCTCCAATATTTCCAATTTCTCTTTCCTTGGGAATTGGTAAAAAATCCTAACTGGCCACAGCAAATAACTGTGCAGTGGCATTTCATATTTCCTTTCTTAACTTTTCAGGCTCTGATGATCCCCTTCTATGTGTCCTATGCACCCTTCACCACCTACCTATCAACCTGAGCCAGAAGGTTGCTTTATATCAGTGCCCTGTTATAGCTTTTGAAGAATAATTCCCAGGCTCTGTCAGCATTCTTTCCCTAAGATATTCTCTGCCCAAGTCCTGCTGTCTGCTTTCTTCTTTTCCAAATGTAACCCAATGTCGCTGAGGCCTCCAAGAAACACAGGGTAGTATCTAAACTCCAATTCACTGGGCATCCATAAGTCTTCCTCTCATTTCTGAGTCTTACTTACTCTTATTTCTGCTTCTTTTGTGAGTTCAGGCAGCCTTCCCATGCGTACCCCTTACCAAACCTAGTCATGAAGCTCTATCCTATCTCCTTGAGGAGTCAGTGTTTAATTGAATTTTGGTGATGGAACAGGGGAGGGGTCTGATTGAGTGTAGTAAATCCATCCACCATTCTTCCCTCTGGCACCCCTCATACTGCACTGCCTCCCTCACCCTTTGGTTCCTTTGGTGAGAGCCTCCCTATCACAAGACGTCCTCAAGAAGCATAATGCCTCATTTTACAGTCCATCAGGCCAGTTTGCCTCATCAGCCCATCTCCCAAATCTGTTGATTATAAGTCCATCTTGCCATGAAAAATTACCAACTCTCTATTCCAGAAGCCCCAGAACTCCAAGTCTCTATCTCTGACCATCTCACCAGCTGCTTCTGCAATTAGCATGTGAGGCCTAGAGCTGTACTCCTTTGGGCAGGAAGTAAAACTGCTAGATTCCTCCATTGTTTAAAAGAACCACCTTGGGCAGCAATGCAAACAAAGTGCTTCTTCCTATGCAGCCCTAGTGGCAGCAGTAATTCGGGACTTGCTGTTTCATGCCCACTGGCCCCTGACCAGACTCCTCCAAACTCCTGCCCTGAAGCCAATGACAGTGTGCTGGTTTCTGGGGGAAGTATGTCCACTGAGAAGTTAGCATGAGAACTTAAGGCACATGGTGCCAGAAAGTAAATTGAGACACATAACTTGGGAGTGACTTCATTCAACCACCAGGCAGTAAGGTGAGTTATGGAAACATTCTCTTGAATAGTCTTCTTTAGCATTTTATTATTACTATGCAGCAGTTCATTCGGATGGTCAGTTTTCTCAATGCTGTGTCTTGGGCAATGGACGGGCAGAAGGCCTTTTCCTTCTTTTCCCCGCTCCCTCCTCCAAGCTGCCCTTTGAGAGTGGTCCAAAAGCCAGATACCATCCTGAGTTATCTCATTTACTACTTCTGACAATCTTATGACATGAGTATCACTCATCCACTTAAAAATGAAGAAAAAAAAACTGAGTCTCAGAGAAGATGCATAACTAAAATCACACAACCAGTAAATAGTGGACCCAGAATTCAAACCAAGCTCAGAATGACTCCACATCCGTGTCCTTCTTCACAAAATAGACTGTCAATGAGGTGGGAACAATCTGACTCAGTTCTCATTCTTAGGTGCCAAGGTTCATTGAAAAAGGTCTTCCAATCTAGTTGTAATTTCCAAAACTCAGAAAAGCAACATAATTAACTTAAAAATATGTTTTAAAAGTCCTGAATGTTTACACTGGAAAATCTCATATTAATTAGTTAGGAGGTGGAAGACACAGAAGACTTTTAAGAGTGTTTTAAAGGGAATTTTCATTCTCAAGGGTTTTGGAGGCTGACAGCATAGGCTTTTTTTGTTTTACTTTTTGATTTTTATTGTGAAAAAAGACCACTTCTAAGAAAAGTTTATGAAACATGAATATGTACAATGCTGGTTAAAAAATAGAAATTTACGAGTAACTAGAACCCTTCCCCATCAGACAGCATCTGCTCTTTGCTTGTTCACATTTCTGCAATATAGACACATTTCTCTTTCCTTGATGCTGTCAGAACTCTTTGACTTTGGTTAAAATCAAAGTTGGAATCATATGTGGAAATTTAAAATCAAAGTTGGAATCATATGTGGAAATTTAAACTATCTAGATGTGTAGTTTATTATGAACATGAACAAATAGAAGGATAAAGAGAAAGAGTCAAGTGTTTTCTCCTAAGCCTAGTATTTAAGTTCAAATCAGTAAACTACTGAAAAACTTGCTTTGACTTTGATTAAAATCATTCTAGTGATTTATGAAAGAACAAATAGAAGGAGAAAGAGAAAACAATTCCTGTGGTAATAGGGCATTTGGGGATAGACCCTGTCACCCATTTAGTCATCCTTTGGGAGACATCCCTTAGACAATGTCTGAGAGTGTGAATCTCTTATCTGTTCTAAACAGAAAGATCAGTTCCCAGGCATCATTTTGTTACTGGTATTTGGGGGTGGGGAGGGCATGATAAACATGATACATGAAGTACCATTGAGTGTTGAAACAAGGAGGCAAGGACTGAAAATACAATTGCAGGAACCTGACTAGTATCTTAGCAGAAGAAGTAATTTAGTATAGCCTGGGAAGAACAAAAGGGACTCATAACAAAGCTTTATCATAAAATACATTTATTTAGTTTATGACTATAGTTTACTTCACTCTTTTTCTTTCCCCCCAGGAGCCTTGCAAACAACAATCTCCAGACGCTCCCAAAAGATATTTTCAAAGGCCTGGATTCTTTAACAAATGTGTAAGAGGACCTGATTAATTAATTAATTAATTTTTAATAGTTAACAAAGAAGCCTGGTATTGATTATTAAAATTTTTAACTGGATTTAAAATTAAATTAGAATTTTAGAATTTAAGTTGATTTGAATTTTAAATTTACTTAGACTAATGTTTTTTTTCTATGATTTTTACCACTGGACATTCTGAAAATATGGTGCCCAGACATTCCTTTGACAAAGCAAAGTGTGTGTCTGTATGGAAGGGAGTGATGATAAGGAAGTTTGAGGGAGTGGGACCAGGGGGCCCAGATAGAAATCTCAAGATGCCTTTTTTCCCATGAGGTCCAGGAAATGGGGCTACAAAGGAAAATATAAAGGAGTCTGGGAAACAGAGTAAAGATGAAAGGTTACACCCATGGGTTGGTCAGTCTACAGAGAAATGGAGCAGGAAATGGGGGAAGGGAGGAAAGTTTGACTTTTTTCTCATTAGACTGAACAACAACTCTAGGCTTAATCCCCAGGAATTTGGCTTAAGCCCCAGGAAGGGAATGAACTTAATTATTTTTGACCCCTTTTCAAACAAAAGAGCTTTCAAACTTTGACTTTTAAGCCTCAGAGTGAAAGATCTTTGTAAGGAATTTGTATATTTTGCTGTAAGCAAAGCAAGTAATATATGCCTAAAGCTCTCAAAAGCAATTTAGCTTCATTAAGTGCCTTCCAGAATATTTGAAAGTTATTTAAATTCCATAAGATAGAATTCAGGAACAAATGAAAGGACATATGAAAACAAAAGATTTCTTATTATTCAGGTACTTTGCTATAGACTATTCAGAACAACTTTTCTCTAATAACAAAAAGTCTGAGTCAAGTGTTTTCTCCTAAGCCTAGTATTTAAGTTCAAATCAGTAAACTACTGAAACACTTTCTTTGTTCCTTGTAGTATTCCCCCAGCCCCTCCTCCATGCCTATTAGCCCAATTCCTGGTTTATTTCCAAGGGAGTGCAGGGATCAGGACATTTCCAAGAAAGTCTCTAACAGACCACAGTTATCTGCTCTGGTTAACAATAGCCCAGAAAAGTTGACACATTATTCTGGGTCAGAATATTCTTGGGAGATGAGGTCAATACTGGCAATGTCTTAGAAGTTAGATGACACCTCAGGGCTGACTTGGGGATACAGCTTATTTGGAGACCCTTTGTCTTATCCTTATGTCAGCCTGTACCTCACACTAACAAAACAAAACAAAAACAAAAAGCCATTTGAAATTGTCTCAGTCTCTCCAGGGAATCCTATAATGGGTTTGGCTTCTTGGGCCTACTTTGATATGCCCAAATCAAGAATTATCTAAGAAGTACAGGATTATGCCAAATTGACTTTTAGTGAATTTCTTGGTTTTCTTGACTATGTCTCCTGAGAAAAATTTTAAAGCTTCAACATTTAAAAAATGTTTATGTGCTGTGTGAAGAGTAGGCAACACTTACTGTACAAATTCTGTGTGATGAAGAAGGGTTTTAGGAAGGAGATGGACTTTATGAACAACAGCAGTGCAAATAAATAGAAGTTGGTAAGTTGGAATCATATGTGGAAATTTAAACTATCTAGATGTGTAGTTTATTATGAACATGAGCTATTGCATGTCTGCGTTAACTCTGCTGTGTCAAAGTCATTTCCTATTAAAATTGAATTTGTAGACCATGAAATAAGGTCAGGATTAATTATGTCTGTGAGGAAGAAGAAAAGCAAATAACTCACTCCATTTAATTAAATATGATATAATAATCACTACATACTTTCCTCTGGACCTGTGCTGTCCAGTATGGTAGCCACACATGCGGTCACTTGAAATGTGTTCCTAGTATGATTGAGAAGCTGACTTGTAAATTTTACTTAATTTTTTTTAAATTTAAATTTAAAATTTGATTCTCAGTTCAATTATTGGAATACTTTTAAGTCTCTTTGCAACAACTTGGGCGTGTGAGTCTATTTTTTTTAACTGGAAATTTTATTAAATCTAAGGACACATCAGGTATTTCTGATGAAAATTTAGCATCCAAATTGAGATATGCTATAAAATGAGTATAAAATATACATTAGACTTCAAAGATTTAATATAAAAAAGAATGTAAAATATTTTATTAATAATTTTTATAATGACTACATATCAAAATGATAATATTTTGTATATATTGGGCTAAATAAGATATATTACTAAAATTAACTTCACCTGTCTCTTTGTACTTTTTTAATGTGCCTATAGAAAATTTTAAATTACATATGTCGTTCACATTATATTTCTATGGACAGCACAGCTCTAGATCCAGCTACCTTCGAATCCAAGAGGGAGTAAGTTAGGAGGTTCCTTTGACTGGGGTGGCCTGTAAGGGTACACTGGTAATTCTGAGCTCAGAGTGAATTAGTCAGGTTCAAGGTGGATTCTGGGGCATTCTGGCACATGCTAATGGCTGAAATAGAAGTCATACTGTGAAGGTAGGACCCTCATAGAGCAAAAGCAGCTGAAGTTTGTCTTTCAGGGACCTCAGAGGGAATTCATTTAATTGTGACTGTAAACTGAAGTGGCTGGTGGAATGGCTAGGCCACACCAATGCAACTGTCGAAGACATCTACTGCGAAAGCCCTCCAGAATACAAGAAGCGCAAAATCAATAGCCTCTCCTCCAAGGATTTTGATTGTATCATTACAGGTAATGTATTCCAAGTTATTCCACCTCATAAAATTAAAAGAAGGGCTACACTTTTTTGCATGTGCAGGAACTGATATTTTTATATCTCAAAAACCAACTAAGCAATTTAATTTTTAAAATATTATGAACCATTAAAATGTCATGCATTTAAAAACAAAGTAAAATTGTCATTTTACTACTTTTCTAAAATAAATGCATTTGTTATGGGCATTTGAGATCTAGCCAAGGAGCTAGACTTTAGCACACAGTTACTCATTGTCACTTCCTATTTTTGCAGAATTTGCAAAGTCTCAAGAGCTGCCTTATCAATCACTGTCCATAGACACTTTTTCTTATATGAACGATGAGTATGTAGTCATTGCTCAGCCTTTTAATGGAAAATGCATTTTCCTTGAGTGGGACCATGTAGAAAAGACCTTCCGGAATTATGACAACATTACAGGTATGAGAAGCCTAATCATATTTTGAGTGGAAAGTTAAGCTGCTTGGACCAAGGGCAACAGGAAAAGATGAGCGATATTGGGAAGGCTTTGAGACATTTGAATCCCAACTCTGCCATTTATTAAGTGATCTGGAATTGTTCCCTAAACTTTAATTTTCTCACTTGTAAATCTGAAATATTTACAAGGTTATCAAAGATAATGCAAGCATATATTCAAGAAACTTACCATAGTACCTAGTCTAGCAATAAAAGGTGGATAATTTTTCCTGGATGAGAAAGTATTGGACTAGGAATCATGAGTTCTAATCCAGGTTCTGCCACAAACTGGGGATGCTACTCACTCTCACTGGGCCCTCTTTTTCTTAACTTTAAAATAAGAAGGTTATTTTAAACCAATGAGTCTCAAACTTTGTTGCACAAACATTACTTCTGTAAAATATTAATGTATGCCTGTGGCAAAAAGGGTTTTGTGGTCAAATACATCTATGAACCATATCTCCCTCTTGGAGATTCAGAATAATACTCATTAGAGGCTCTGAGAAGTCCTAACAGTGAAAAAACAAGCCTCTTTCCAGAATTTTTTGCATTTAGTTTGACCATGGAAACCAATTTTTTTTTTTTTTTGCCACTCAAACTTTTACTCAGGTGATCTCTTAGGTTTCTTTCTCATTTCAACAACTTGAAATTTTTTAAGTCATAAATTAGAACATGGGACACTCTATGAAATATTTACATCAGCTTTAGTTCCTAATACCTTTAAATCTACTCCTAAAAGCTCCTAGACAAAACTGAGAGGGTCATAATTAGATTTTGTTGGTGGTCCTTGACCCATTGCTCAAAGGATCAATACAGGTCTGAGCTTGCTTGAGACAGAGGTACCCAGATGAAGGAATCCCCTCCTAACTGATACCCTTCTAGAATCCTCCTTCTTTCTCAAGGAGAAAGGCTATGCTTCCCTTTCTCCCTAAGCCTTCCTTGTTTTCCAGTGGATTACAGTAGGCATTTGTGTAATCTAAACCAGTTCTTTTTACCTATGTGCAGTCCATCAATTGCTTTGTTGTTGCTGTTAATCCTCACCCAAGGATATTTTTTCCATTGATTTTTAGAGATAGTGGAAGGGAAGGGGAAAGACAGAAGGAGACCAACATCGATGTGAGAGAGACACATAAATTGGTTGCCTCCCACGCGTGCCCTCATGAGACCGGGGATGGAGCCTGCATTGGAGGTTCATGCCCTTGATCAGAATCTAACCCCAGACCCTTCAGTCCATGGGCCAACACTCTAACCACTGAGCGAAACTGGCTAGGGCTTGAATGAATCTTTAGATGAGCACTTGAGAGAGAAATGAATCATGTACTTGCAACTTCAGAATGCATCATCTAGTATAAAATGACAAACAGATGTCATGTATATGGTCAACATCCTGTCCCTCACCCCCAGACAGACATTGCTAATCCACTGTGGTGCTCTTTCTTGCAGAGTGCAGCAGTGGCCACAGAATCCTTCTCAACACAGTTCTCCAGGCAGTCGCTCTTATCATCATCAGTCAGTCATTATGGGTACATAGGTAAAATCTAGTGACCAGCCCTGATCTAGTTTCAACCTTCTCTGTACAAAAGAGAAAACTAAATCCCACAGAAGTTAAGTGACTTTTCCAAGGTCACACAATCAGTTGAGTCCTGAAAAGGGTCACAAGTAGAATAATTCTGTCTCTGGATGGAGTCAATTAGTAGAAAGAGTTGATGCAGAACTTAGTGCCTCAGAGCCCCCTAGGCTGCAGGCAGAAAAGACCAGGGTCCTACATTTGCCCCGCTTCTCTTTGGATTTCCTAGAATCAAGCTCCCTTGAGGAGTTCAGAATATATTCATAAATATTAAACTCTTACCAAAAGGATACTGAGCTAGGCCACTGACAGACCTCATGTTGATCTCTAATATTTCCCAAAGTAACATTCATGAGAATCATCTATGTACTCCTCCCTCTTCCTTCTCTTCTCTCCTGCCACCAGTGACCTGAAGATGCAGAAAAATGCCAAGTGGCATCACTTTCCTTTCTCAGGGGAAAGTCAGGTTATTCAAGAAGTAGTTCGCACTTAGAAGAAACCAATTACAGACAGAGCTGTGGGCTTCCCAAACCACCATTCAAACCTCCTAAAACCTTGTGGGATCTAAGCCCAAGATGGAAACCCTGGAATACCTAGCTGCCCACCCCATAGCGATGCTGGTAGACCTGGGTTTGAATCCCAACTCTGCCTTCTCCTAGCAGCATTGAACCTCTCTGAGCTTCAGCCTGCTCATCAACAAAAGGGGGGATAATAATTTTTATTATTTAACCTTTTGGAAAATTTTAATGGGATGATTTGGCAAAGCACATAGTAGGTGCTCAATAAACGGCTGTTTTCACTACAATTACAAAGATGAACTCATGATGTATTAGGGAGAGCAATGCTTTCTTTCTGCAAGAAATGAGAGAAGGAAACTCAGGCTATAGCCATGTATCCTAAATATCTAGTGCAGGTTGGATGTAACATGACAATGTCTGCATGCTCCAAAAGAGGATGACCATCCAGCTAATCTCTCATTTGTCTTTCCCCAGGCACGTCCACTGTAGTATGCAAGCCCATAGTCATTGAAACTCAGCTCTATGTTATTGTGGCCCAGCTATTTGGCGGCTCTCACATCTACAAACGAGACGGTTTTGCAAATAAATTCATAAAAATCCAGGATATTGAAATTCTCAAAATCCGAAAACCCAATGATATTGAAACATTCAAGATTGAAAACAACTGGTACTTTGTTGTTGCTGACAGTTCAAAAGCTGGTTTTACTACCATTTACAAATGGAATGGAAATGGATTCTACTCCCATCAATCCTTACATGCGTGGTACAGGGACACTGATGTGGAATACCTAGAAATAGCCAGAACACCTCAGGCACTGAGAATGCCTCATTTAATCCTGTCCAGTAGTTCCCAGCGTCCTGTAATTTATCAGTGGAACAAAGCAACACAATTATTCACTAACCAAACTGACATCCCTAACATGGAGGATGTATATGCTGTAAAGCACTTCTCAGTGAAAGGTGACGTGTACATTTGCTTGACAAGATTCATTGGTGATTCCAAAGTAATGAAATGGGGAGGCTCCTCATTTCAGGATATTCAGAGGATGCCATCACGAGGATCTATGGTGTTCCAGCCTCTTCAGATAAATAACTATCAATATGCAATTCTTGGAAGTGATTATTCTTTTACTCAAGTGTATAACTGGGATGCAGAGAAAGCCAAATTTGTGAAATTTCAGGAATTAAATGTTCAGGCACCAAGATCATTCACACATGTGTCCATTAATAAACGCAATTTTCTTTTTGCTTCCAGTTTTAAGGGAAATACACAGATTTACAAACATGTCATAGTTGACTTAAGCGCATGACACACAAATTCTGTGGCTGCCATCAGAAACTTTCTACAGTACATGGTCCGGATGAACTCAATGCATGATGACTCTTCTTATCCCACTTGCAAATGAATGCCTTTCAAACATTGAGACTGCTAGAACCAAGCACTACCAGTATCCCCATCTTTAACTGTCCAGTCCAGTGGTGTGGGAAGTTACCTTTTATAAGAGAAAATTGAATTGTGTAACTGTTCTTTGCAGTGAAGGTGTGTAAATAAGCATTTAATGATATCTGTTACTCCAAAAAGAAATATTAATATGTACTTTTCCATTTATTTATTCATGTGTTCAGAACTGCCAAATAAAATGTTTACATTTTCTTTTATATCCCAAGGTAAGTACTTAAGGGAATTTAGTTTTTTTCTTGGTGATGGTGTATTTAGGAAACAGTTTTATACCATAAGGTTATATTTGAATCAAGAGTTTATGTTGTGACTAATGAGTGAAGGTGAAACACTGATATTGATTACCCATAATTTATGAACAGGTTCATCAGTTGATTTTGAACATTCAAAGGTGTTTCCAAAAGTCATGACTTTTAGGAACACTTTGAGGTAAAGTGGTGACAAATTAAAAGAAGGGTAGAGAAATTTGCTTATTACAAGAAGACTAATTTGAAATAAAAACTGTAAGATCCATCCTTTCCTGTCCAATAGCTCCAGCTACAGCAATCCTTCAAACAACTTACAGGATAAGTTAAAGCCAAGATTTGGGATTTTCAAAAACCCTATTTAGGGACTTTCTAAATGTCTAACTCTAGAATCATCTGACAGCTAATTGAGATTGTAACCTTATAGCACTTGCCTCAAATGAAGGCCTCTTGATCTGACCAAGGACTTCTAGAGACCAAGTCTGATATGTTATTGACATGCTGCAGAGTGCCCAGGAGGATCATATTTGATTTTCTAAAACCCTGCTTCTGGATCACAAGGGTCGTAGCAAGTAGCACAATGCCTGTGCACTCTGTGGGCTCTCAGAGGTGCACATGTGTCCTCCTGTTATAATAATAAACTTAATGAGGCCCTTTGAGCTCATTAGTCAGTATGTATGGAGTACCTAATAAGGTATCATTCCTGTGGTGTTGAGGGGAGAACTGAAGGAGAGAAAGGCACCATCCTTGCCCTCTGAGTCCTTAGAAGGCTCATTGGGGGTTTAAGACACAACAGAGCAAGCAGTAAGTGCCAGTTATCATCTGAACATCCAATTGTAAGTTTCAGGAGAGCATCAAAGATGTCTTCCTGAAAGAAGTGGTCCTTGTTTGAACTTAAGGGAAGATAGGAATTTAAATGGGGATCATGACAGAGAAAGTATTCCTGGCACTTGGTTCTGCATGCTGCCTTTACGGAAGGGAACAGAACTTCCTCCAGCCCACTGTTCCCCAGAGTCTTTGACCAAATGATTGTGGGAAGGTGTGGGTAGGGGGACAGCAACCCCTCTGCCAGCCCTTATCTGGCAAACTTGAGGCATCAAAGGTACACACATCGTTATAGAGTCTCCCAGAAGCAATACCTTAGGGAGTTATGCACAGGAACCTGACTCCTTTATAACATGGTAAAGATATTAACTCTGACATCAGGGTTATGGGGGAGGAGGAGAAGGCTTACCCACTCCCGATCCTGCACAGAGGGAGAACTGGCCTTTGAATGCATTCCTTTCCTCAGTTCCTATTTTCTGTAAGCAGCCTATATGCTGTTGGAGAACACCTGCTTTGTAGAGACAGGGATCAAATCCAGCCTTGCCATGTACTGGCTTTGTCCACAGACAAGTTACTTAACCTCTCGGAGCCTCAGTTTCTTCATCTGTAAAGGGACAATAATGCCTACTCCAAGGACATGGACGAATTAAGGAGCACATGGCAGATTGAACTTTTCTAACTATATCTCCCGTCCCACATGTGCTATGAGAACCTTGCCCTCATCCCATCAAGAGGTGGTGCCTAATCCCTCTGTTCTTAAATCTGGACGGGCAACCAATAGAATGTGGAGGAAATTATGCAGTTTGACTTTGGAGCTGGGGTTACAAAATGATGGTGCTTTTGCCTTGTGAACCTGAACTGCCATGTCAAAAGTCCTAGCAGCTTGAAGCCACCATTCTGTGAGGAAGCCCAGGGTTTGGTCGGCAACCTCAGCTGAGGTCTCAGCATCAACCACCAGTCATCTGAGTGATGGCTCCAGGGGATTCCAGCTCCCAGCTGTCAAGTCACCACCAGCCATCGAATCTTCCCAACTGAGGCCCTGGATGTTACGGAGCAGAGACAAGCCATCCCACAATCACCTACTCAAACTCCTGACCCATAGAATCTATACACATAATAAAATGGTTGTTTTAAACAGCTAAGTTTTGGAGTACTTTGTCACACTGTAGCAGTACTGGGAATAGCACTTGAAGTGCTTAACCCAGAACTGGCACGAATTAGCACTCACCAAGTGTTAATGGTTCCACACCCATAGCATGAGTTTGGGTCACACTCTTCCTTTACTGTCTTAATGTAATTCACTGTCATTTTATTTTAAATGCTCTCTCCTGTTTTCAATATGTTATCGTGTTCTTACTCTGTGCCAGGCACTGTGCTGAGTTGAGGGATGCGGACATTAAAGACTTGCCCTGCTTGTTTTCATAGGAGCACTGACTATTCAACTTGGCAAACCAACTCTCTACTTTACCTTAACTCTGAGACCCAGAGATGTGAAGCAAATGGGGTGAAGTAGGCTACAACCCGGGTCTCCTGACACGTGGTCCAATCTTTGGTCCATAACATGGCGCCACCTTTCAAAACTGCCCCCTTCATTTCAAACCTGGGATGTGCATGGGGACAGAGGTGAGGAAGCTGACAGAGAAAATAAATGTTAAAAAGACTGAGGAGAAGGACAGATGGTAGGGTCCACTTTTTGTAGGAATTGACCAGTCTTTTCTGTGAGTTACCCTCTCTGCCTGTGTCCCTCATCTCCTCTACACTGTACCCACTCTCCAGCCATAGACGATTGGGCCTGGAGTGAACTCCTGATCCAGGTGTTCAACCCAGAAGCTGGGTGGGCTCATATCTAGTTATCCCTTCTGGATATTTGGCATTATGTCTTTAGCCATGGCACCAGATTTGAAGGTGATGATCTTATATCAGGTTCCCTCAAAGCAGTGGGATTTACTGAGCAAGTGCTTTCTCTACATCTGAAAGATAGTGAGAGGGGCACAGGGCAGGGAAAGATGCCATTTCAAAACTCTGGCTTCAGTCCGACCCCATGGAGAACTCTAGAGCATAAATTGTACCGCAGAGCATATCCTGCCTTGAGGCAAGGAGGATGGACTTTTATAGCCCCTCATCTGATAGTTAATGTCCAAAAAGTGTGGGGCATAATCTCTTAGGCATCTCTAGCAGAGAAGGTTGGCTAAGGGCAATGCTCCACAGAAGGGTACAACTGTGAGCTGTTAAGTAGAACCCACGTCAGCTGCAGGATGGGTGCATCAGCCTAGTAAAGGGCATGTGGGTGGGATACCAATAGCATAAGCCACAGGGACACTGACTGGGGAGCTGAAGACACCATTTTGGAGCAGCCATGATTGTCCATGTACCAGAGGAGCAGAGAAGGTTGGTCTCAAAAGTGAGTAGGGAATGATGTAGAAGCTCAGAAAGAAGCAGAAGTGAGAAACTACATAGTCTGAGGGATGGAGGAAGGGAAAGGGGTAAGAAAAGGGAGAGGAAGAGAGGGAAAATGGGAGTATAAAAAGGAAGTGGGGGAGAGAGTGGAGGAAGATTGGGAAGTATGGTGTCCCAAGTTGGGTCACCTGAGAAGTTAATGCACAGACCTTTATTAGGTAGTACCCTTGAGAGCAACATCTGGAAAGGAGGGGAAGGAAGAATTTGGCAGAGAGAAGCTGAGCTGTGATGCAGGTCCCATCAAGGTAACCCTGTAGTGAGCTCTAGAGCTGAGACGTCTCTTCCCAGTTGTCCCAAGGGGACCAGAGCTTTATACCTTTGTGTTGATTACTCTCTAGATGTGGCCATCCTTGGGAGAAAGTATGGCTTTAGATGGGGCTGTTTTCTTAGCCAAGGCAATCCCCAAAGACAACAGACAGCAGAGGCTCATCTTACAGCCACAGCTGGAAAACAAACCCTTTATTCTTAAATGAGGATGGGTGGTGCAACACAGTCTCCATTGCAGAGGAAAGAGACGGAAAGAAGGGTGAGTGAGAGAAAAGGGAGGAGCGGCAGCCTGGATTCCATTTCCTGCTTCATCCCTCATTAGAATCAGTGGCACCCCCTGCCCTTGAATTCCTTTAGGTACTTCTGTAGTCTTCTAATAACAACCACCCTGCACCACCCCCCACAACACACACACATACACACTTTATTTTATTTTAAGTTAGTTTGAGTGGATTTCTGTACTTACCACAAAGTTATCTTCAACTAAGTCAGAATGTTTAGGCACAATGGACTATAAATATAGATGTGTATAGATGTAATGGTGAGTACTAGATATTTTAATCTCTGCTATTCACACTGTAAAACTTCTATTAATCTATCCTCAAGTTCATCAATTCTTTCCTCTATTATCTCCAACCTCAACTTTCTTGAACAAGTAATATTATTTCAATTAGATCAGTGCTTCTCCACGTTAAATTTTTTTCCAATGTTTAAAAAGGTTTGGACCATAGAGATTTAAAAATCTCCAATGCATTTTAGACCAATGTAATCTGTTTGTATTGTGAACCAATATTTTTGGAAGTTAGAATAAAAGTGAATTACTAGAAAAATGATCACTTGCTTGGTTATTGTGGCCATGTCAAACGGCCTATAAAAGTTTCTAAGTGTTTCCTCTCAAGTTCTGTGCTTATCTCATCCCACACTGATTCTAAACTTTTCCTAGACTGGTATTGGTCCTAGGACCACATCTATAGGTACACTAAACTAGTCAACTAGAGCTCAACGCATTCATCTCAGCCTTACAGTTATACATCAGTTTTAAAGTGGGATATACATGCATTTTAATATGGTTGCTATCAAGGCTATGGGGCATCAAGGGATACCACAAGCCAAGAAGACCTACAAGGCTTTAGAAAGTCCTGAAGGTGGAATTTAAAATCTAGCCCAGCTTCTCCTCCCACCCTCCAATTCACCCACAAGTTGCAGTTACCCATGCAACTTGACAAGCCCTATTTTATCTAAGTGCGTGCTTCTGTGCCCAGGCTGCTCCCGCCACCTACAATGTTCTTTCCCCACTCTTCTATTTTTTAAAAATATATATATGTTTTTATTAATTTGAGAGAGAGAGGAAGGGAGATAGAAAGAAATAGAAACATCAATGAGAGAGAAACATCAACATCGATTGGTTGCCTCCTGCAT